ATTCTGGGAGTTGAAGTCCACACATCTTCAAGTTGCCAAGGTTGAGAAACACTGCTCTAGGAGGACACGCTCAACTCAAAAGTGCTGAACCTGGCCACCAAGTCCTAACCATTACCTGGAGGAGCACCTTCACCCAGGGGGAATAGGGGTACAAGCCTCAAGGTCCCCATCTGAGGTCCTGCTTCCTAACCCACAGGCCATCCATGGACAGCAGGCCCATAATTTGCTGCCCACCACATCCACCCTTCCAGATTTTCGATGGGCTTTGAAAATTCCTCTCTTCCGCAAGGTTTCTAAGGATGGAGTTAGGGAACCAGCAGGGTGCTTTGTGGGATTTTATGCAGGTTCAAGGTTCGGAGGTTTCTCAGCATCTGTTTGATCTTGCCTGAGCATGGAAGGGTTAGATCTGTTTAGGCCAAGAAAGGGGACCACCAGGAAATCTCTGGGCTGATGGCCAGACTGGGAAGCCCAAAAGCATTCCAGGAGAAGACAAGGGCAAATGACATGGATTTTATTTTTTATTTTTATTTATTTAAAAGATTTGTATGCCGGCCCATCTTAAACAACTCCGGATGTGTCCATAAAGGCACCAGGAGTTGACTGAAACTCAGAGAGGATTTTTACTACCCCTTGCAGAGATCAAGGACTTCAGGGGATCAGCAAGGAAGCTATAACCTCTCATGGAAGTGGAGTTGATAGAGATACCCTTTCATGATCCACTCATTCTTTCTCAAGGCTTAATAAGATTTGCTTCCTGCCAGAAAATAAGCAGGCAATCATAGGAGGCTGAAGATTCAGCCTTTGACCACCCTAAGACAGATGAAATAATGATCCGATCCAATTATTTTACAGTGAAACTTCTCTTTCCTGTGGCCACCCTGAACTCATTTCCATTTTAAGAGGCAACGTATAAAGGATTCAGTAATCAGAATAAAATTAGGAGTAGAAATTGGCGGGGTGAAGGAAATGCTCCTGTTACCACCAGCTCCATTCGGCACATCGCTCCCTCCCCAAGGAAGTCCGTGGTGGGAGCAAACAGTTGAACGTGCCTCCTGGCTTCATCATGCCAACGATGCAGAGGATGTCACTGGCATCCTGCGTGCAATGACGTCACAATGTGCCTGGCTTCACGGCGGCTTCTGTCAAATGCCTGTCACCATGCCCTAAACCTGGTTAATCGTCTTGTGGTTCAGCAAGGTGCGTGAATTCATCTTTGTCTGGTTAGTTTATGGTTCAAGGTACAGAGCAAACCCAGAAAATGGGTGATTCTCCTAACCAGGTTAAAGATGGGCCGTGAAGGCCATCTTCGGAGCAGCTACAGAAGCTGCGGGCTCTCGAGAAGCTGGCAGGATGGGTCTGCCGACGAGGCCACGTGGGTTTCTGCTCCTCCAACCTACCGTGAGGTCCACGTTTTCAATGAGCTGCACCGCGATATCCTTGCAGCCGCCTGCGAGCGCTGGTTTAGGCATGGCAGCATCGCTATACCAGTTTCGGTTCACAACGTGGGCATAGTTGCCGGCCGGGGAGGCATGCTGGACTCGCGTGGTGGTCACAATCCCCACCGACTTTCCTGCGATTGAGGAAGAAATGGAGGAGGAAGGGCCATCGAGCCATCAGCCTGAAAGGGAGTGGCACTCAAAGGGGGGGGTGCGAAAGAAACCGAATGGCACCCTAAAGCAGTCTTTCTCCACCTGGGCAGCTTTCAGACGTGTGGACTTCAACTCCCAGAATTCCCCAGCCAGCCATGCTGGCTGGGGAATTCTGGGAGTTGAAGTCCACACGTCTGAAAGCTGCCCAGGTGGAGAAACACTGCCCTAAAGGCTACATGAAAATGATGCATTAAGATACTTTGTATGTATGTATCATATTTATATAACCGCCCATCTCACACAAAGTTGGGACAAGCATTCAAACCAAACGTGGATGAGTAAAGCAAAAGTGGAATTTCAAAATTGGAGGGCCAGTTTTCCTCTTTGCTCTGACATTTGAGAAACGGCGCCTGGCAAACACGGGCTGGGTTTATCCCACCTAATGAACCTGGTCAGATATTACGATTAATAATATAAATGTCTATTAATACATCCTTAATATAATGAGGATTATAAGGACTCTTGCTGGTATAGGACCCACTTTACAGACTCAAAGCTGTTCACCGCAGTTAAACCGCATGAAACAAAATCCCTGAAGCCATCCACTGAGGTACAAAACTCCATTACCACTAAAATCAAAATATCTCAAAGGCCCCCAAAACAGCTGCCCCATTGCGAGGAGTTCTCAGGGGCCACCTGATCTCCCTGGCCATTATTTTTCTGATTCCATAAGCCAGATGAATGCAGCCCATTGGGTTCATTTAGGCCTCGATGTATGGCAGAAACCCAGAAAAATGGGTTAACTCAGTAACCAAGTTCAAGGCATTGTGTGAATGCAGACGCGGACTGATTTCTCTCTATGCTGAAGGAGCCCTGCTATGTTCTGGAGCTGTGCAATTAAGTGGTTGCAACTGAAAAAAGATATTAAATTTAATACCAGGGAAATGTTTAAGGGTCATCTGAGCCTTTTCATGAGAGGCGGTGATAAGTAAGTGTTGTACATAAAGAAAACTGGGGAAGAGGCAGAGCCGCAAGAATCTGGGTTGAGACAGCTTTAACCCGTTTATAAACGCTCTTGATTTAGGGGTAAGCAGTGAGTTGGCGAAGTTTGTGGGTGACACCAAGCTATTCAGGCTGGTAAAATCCAAAAGAGTTAAGAAAAGTTCTGAAAGGGTCTGTTGAAACTGGACCAGGGATCGACCAAAGGGCAAACACAGTTCAACGATGTACGGGGGATATACGCTATTTCGATTGCAATCAAGTCATAAATCAGTTTAAAAATAAAATTAGAATAACCAAAACAAAAGATACCCGTTTATGCAATCACAGCACCAGCTGTAAGGTTTGGGGGGGGACCATTTTACAGTGTTTCCCTATCTTTCTTTGGGGCTGGTTTCAGTTGGCGGTAATGGGGGGGAGATCATGCTCCCTCACTTGTGGGGTGCCACAAGACTCAACACTCTCACCCCTCCTGTTTAACATTTACATGAAACCCCTGAGTTGGGTCAACTCTTGTCCAAAGTCCTTGGCTATAAATTGGATGGACGGACGGACAGATGGATGGGCAGGCTTTTTTGACGGGTGCGCTCCCGTATCATGGGCCTCCTGTCCCAGATGTAGCTCTTCCGTGCACCAGGTTCTGTGCCCTTCTTTTATTCTGAGCCCACGAACCCACAAGTTCCCCACGTCCTCTCCTCTCGGTCCTTACCAGCCATCTGAGCCCGCTTCAGGACAGAAATGACTTCGTTGCCCGCTGTTGTATTGCACTGATTATACCGGGCAGCGGCACTCACGCCAATGGTTTGAAAGTTGCCCTTCACCCCACAGAGGTAGGCAGTGGCGGTTCCCGCGCTGTCGGGCACTTGTCGGTCCACGTTGTAGGTCTGCAGGAAGCAAGAGACACACCTGGAAGAAGGTCCCAAGTCTTCGTATTCCCGTGCTCAGATCAGCTTGTGGAGGGAGGGGACAGGGGGGAGAAAGGGAAGACCCACCCTGCTGTTGGCTACAAGAGGCCCAGCCAGCTGTTTCCAGCAGACCCTGTTCGAGCCAGCTGTGTGCCAGCTTCATGGGCTCAGAAGGATTTCAGAATACAAACCGGTTGGACATGATGATTGCAACAGCTGACTACGACTGTTAACAGCTCTGTGCCTGACCCAGACTGCAGGCTGGCATCCAACAACTTCTCTACATAACGCCACAGGAAGGGTTTGGATCTGCCTTGAATCTGTCCCTGCAACCCCTGCTCATCTTCTCTGAGCGCTACCTCCCCCCCCCCCCCCCCCCGACGGTCCTGGAGGTTCCTCGGTTTTGAGATGCTGGGCCCAAGAGCAAGGGGCGTGGAAGAGGTGAGGACTCCTCCCAACTGCAACCCTGTGAACAGGCTTCACCTGTTGAACGACTGCCCAGCGTCTCAGGAGCCCTTGGGGGCAGGGAAAGACAGAGGGCCTGTCAGCTAGGAAATCCAGCTCAGAGCTCCGAGTCCAAGCAGTTCCTACCTTGGAGAGAGCCACATACGGAAACATGTCCATGCTTAGAGGTGTTTCAGGAAGTGGCGGGTTTTGCATCTGCCCCTTCAGGATGCGGGTAGCGGTGATGGTGGGAATGCCCATCCCTGCCAGGGAGACCAACTCAGCATGAGAAAACCTGCATGGCTGAATGAGATCCTACCTCAGTCCGCAACCACCGTTCCCTCTAGGAAAAAAAATTTTTTTTGCCCCACTGGTGCCTACAAATGCCGAGGCTCCAACTCGCGTGGCGGTCACCTGGTCACCCCAGAGCACGGAAGGTGACTTGGAAGGACGTCACCGGTCCTGGCCTTCCTCTGTTTCTACTGCACAGACCAGCACTGCAGCCCTCTTACATTTGCACCACCTGCACAGTCGATCAGAAGCAGCTTTGGGAGGTAATAAATCAGCAGCGGGTTCCGATCTCTCCAGCTACACCTGGAGAGTCACAGCCAGCGCTTCTGACTGCAGGCAGGGGCCAGTCCATTAGTGGACCTTCCCTTCAGAGGTGGGGCTGGAGAGTCCTCGAGGAGCTGTTTAAGTCTCCAAGCCACTGTTTCTCAACCTCAGCAACTTTAAGATAGGTGGACTTCAACTCCCAGAATTCTCCAGCCAGCAACTCCAGAATTCTGGGGTTGACGTCCAGACATCTTACAGAATGCTGGCTGGGGAATTCTGGGAGTTGAAGTCCACACCTCTTAAAGTTGCTGAGATTGAGAAACCCTGGTACATAGGAAAACAAGCTAAGCTAGGACTCTCGATCAGGACTTTATGCTTTCATTAAATGCTTTAATGTCTCAGGGATTACGATCTCTAGATTTTTGTGCTTTCTGCACATGCTCAGTGAATTGCATTTGTTTCTTATACTGCGTGGAACCACATTACATCGTAATCCTCCTGAACAAGCTGGTCAACGGGTGCATGCTCTGCAGAGCCATTTTCCCTGCCCTTCATGGCCTTCGGGGTGGGGGGACTTTTTCTAAATCTCCGGCCAAGATTTTTAGCAGCGTTACAGGGTGATTTTCTCCAAGAGGGATGGTTTTCACGGGCAACTGCTTAATGCGAAAGGGAAAAGTTTCCCATCTTCTCCGTCCTGATTTTTAATAAAGCTTCATTTAAAATTAATGCGTGTTCTGTTACTCTGACTTGCAAGGCGGGGAGATGGCTTTTTCCCAGCGCGGGCCTCAGAGGCAGACTACAGTTACAGGAGGTGGTGCTACGGAAAAGATTTGGCTTTATCGTTCGTGTTTTTCTTTCACTTGCCAGCACCGGCTGCGGGATTTCTACCGGTCCCACAAGCCAGGATGAAGGGGGAAGATACCAGGTGAAGGCATCCCCTAAGCCAGTGTTTCTCAACCATTGCAACTTGAAGATGTGTGGACTTCATCTCCCCCCCTTCTTCCTCCCCCCCCCGTGCCGGAGGGGGCTGTCCTGGGATAGCGGATGCTCCTCCAATTGCGCAACGGACAGGGGA